CACAAGTACAAAAAAACTATTTTTACTTATTTATTTTGACAAGCAGAGTGGACAGTGAGAGAGAGACAGAGAGAAAGGTCTTCCTTTGCCATTGGTTCACCCTCCAATGGCCGCCGCGGCCGGCGCACCGCGATGATCCGAAGGCAGGAGCCAGGAGCCAGGTGCTTCTCCTGGTCTCCCATGGGGTGCAGGGCCCAAGCACTTGGGCCATCCTCCACTGCCTTCCCTGGCCATAGCAGAGAGCTGGCCTGGAAGAGGGGCAACCGGGACAAACTTACCTGGTTCTGAGCTTACAGTCACTTGAGAGGTGAGATAGTTGATCTCGATCATCTTAGAGGGTGTCATCCCTCTCCCTAGAACTCTGCATGAAGCCAGAGGATCCCTGTGAATCCCAGAAAAGCACAGCAGAGCTTCGGTTTCTTACAACTGCTGCGGAGAAGCGCATCGTCCAGGCTCACACAGACAGCGCCTGGGCAGCCACCGAAGCCGGGGTCATGTCCTCCCCCAGTCCTCCAGGCCACAACTGCACCAGCATCCACCCCCTCCACCCCACCGGAAGCCTGCCGAGGCTTGGAGAGGCGGTATGAAAGCGGGGCACAGGTCTACTTCTCTCAAATGAAACACACCATCCCTTCCTCGTCTCTGGGAAGAGCCACTTCCGCCTTCTGACTGTGGCGAAAGGAAGTAGAGCTTATCTAACGTAGCAATACGTGCTACGTGCTTACATGTACGTACGTGTGTTTGCATGTGTCTCCAGAGCACCAAAAATGAGTGCAGCGTCTTCACTTGTGTGGTTGCGGGGGCGAATGCAGACGACTCCATGGAGGTCATTAGAGGCCCTGTGTATGAAACGTGCGTGCCACGGCCGGGGCCAGAGCTTTCCCCCTCTGAGTTCCCTGCCTCGGCCTCCCTGACCAGTCAGATCCAACCAGCCTCTTCAGCTTTTAACCTTCAGGGAGTCCTGGTGTTGGGAATGTGCCCAGGAGTTGTTTCAGTCGACTGTGGTGAGGCGTGCACAGAGAAATGCCCATCGTGAAAGTTTATCCTCACGGGTCCCTAAAACAAGAGGCGTGGCATGCCACGCAGGACGGCCCCACGGGGAGGCACCAGGCTGTCAGGAGGCGGAGGGACAGCAGAGTGGGCGGGAGCCTGTTTATTGTGGGATCTATGGAAAGGAATGGGCCAGGCAGAGCAAGCAGGTTTAGCGCGGGCTAGTTTGAATCATTTCAGCTGGAGTGGGGTGTGAGCGCTGTCTCCAGGTGTCTGTTACCTGGCTCCGCGTGATTAAGGCAGGAGAGTAGTAGACCCCACCCCCAAACCCCACTAAAGGAGGCAGTTCAGGGTCTGGGTTCAGGGTTGGTTGCTTTGCAGATGAAACTCACCCACAGGGGAGTCCTTTCCTATGTGAGGGGAGCTGCCCGGCCCTGGGAGGCGCATTCTCTCCTGGGGCAGCAAGGACCCAGATAGCAAAACATCAGAAGTGCAGAAAATAAAAAGGCTTTACGAGTACACGGGGAGTGAATCTTAGCCCTGGGAGGAATCTGTTCCCAATCTCCTCAACTCAGCTTGCTGGGAGCTGAGGGGAAGATGCTGGTCCTCAGACCCTGCATCAGTTGCTGACTCCCTCCACTCCAACCAAGCCTCCAGCTGCAGGTGGTAGAAGTCTTTAGCCTGTGGTCCAGCACTGCAGTGTCCCAGAACCCCTGAGACCAGTGCCATGCTCATCAGCGGGCAGGTCTGGGCTTCATCTATAGCCCTAAACCTCAGTCCCTTGGGCTGGGAATCTAGAAAACATGAGAATTTCTGGTTTGCATTTATTTCTCTACGGGCCCTGGAGAGACCTCTGAACCCTCTTGGCCCGTCCGAGCTCCTCTGCCCCAGGAGCTGAATCATTCTCCATGCTGCTCGCCCTCCCTGTCCCCAGCCAGGATCTGGTGTTGTACATCAACCCAGATGTACCTTTCTGGAACCACACCTGATGCCTGCCAGCCACACAACTTGCCATGTCACAGGTCAGTCCCTGGGCCCCACCAGGGAGAATCGGAAAACTTCAAGGCTTTTTCTTTGTTGCTAATCCTTCCTCCAGTTGGTTTTTTGTTGTTGTTGTTGTTTTTTTTGTTTTGTTTTGTTTTTTGGTTTTTTTTTGACAGGCAGAGTGGACAGTGAGAGAGAGAGACAGAGAGAAAGGTCTTCCTTTGCCGTTGGTTCACCCTCCAATGGCCACCGTGGCCGGCGCACCACGCTGATCTGAAGGCAGGAGCCAGGTACTTATCCTGGTCTCCCATGGGGTGCAGGGCCCAAGCACTTGGGCCATCATCCACTGCACTCCCTGCCCACAGCAGAGAGCTGGCCTGGAAGAGGAGCAACCGGGACAGAATTCAGTCTGCCGGCGCCGCAGGCGGAGGATTAGCCTATTGAGCCACGGCGCCGGCCTCCTCCAGTTTCTAACAATGATTTTTTAAAAAGATTTATTTTATTTATTTGAAAGACAGAGTTACAGAGAGAGGTAGAGACAGAGAGAGAGGTCTTCCATCCGTTGGTTCACTCCCTAGATGGCCGCAACGGCCGGAGCTGTGCCGATCCAAAGCCAGGAGCCAGGAGCTTCTTCTGTGTCTCCCAAGTGGGTGCAGGGGCCCAAGGACTTGGGCCATCTTCTACTGCTTTCCCAGGCCATAGCAGAGAGCTGGATCTGAAGTGGAGCAGCCGGATCTTGAACTGGCACCCATATGGGATGCTGGCGCTTCAGGCCAGGGCGTTAACCCACTGCCCCACAGCGCCGGCCCCCAATGATTTTTTTAAAAAAATCTTACCTCTCCCACAGTTAAAAAAAAAAGGCAAGTTTTATCCTATCACCCTTGAGAGGATCTGTACCCATCTGACAAATAGCTACTTGTGTTCACAACTCACCCCTCTGGTGGTGCAGAATAACCAGGAGGGTCAGGGCCCAACAGGTACTGATAGAAGCCCTTTGCTGCCATCACAGAGGCCACCAACTAACTTGGGTTTGTGTGCTCCTGGGGAAGTAAACAGGTCGGCTTCATTGGGGTCAGGGCCAGTGGTGTGCTAGAGCTAGCTTGAACTGTAAGAGCCAATAGGGAGCATCCCCTTCTAGCTCTGTAATCAGTGCAGGCCACTGCTTAGAGGTGACAAGCTAAGAATCAGTTTGTGAGCTAGAGACCAGAACCAAAACACAGGAGGGACTTTGAAACTGAGGGACAAAGAGCAGGCAGTATTGGGAATGTAGAGGTAAACAGATAAGTCTCCTTGAGCTGCTGCAATATGCAAAAGGCTGGCTGGTCCCTGGCTGCCAGAATCCTAAAATCTCCCTGCGGGAACTAAGGGGCAAGACCTTGGTGTGCCTCCACCCTGCACCTTCAGTACCCTTGTCCACAGGTCCTCCCCCCTCCACCCCACGGCCCTAAGGTGAGGCAGCTGTTCACTCATAGTTCTTTGGGAGTGGCTCCACATTCTCATGGTCTCACTCACTCTCGGCTTGAACTTGCCAAGATGTGGCTCCCCCTCCTTCAAATCTATCTCCATCTTTTATCATTTTCTTCTACACTCCTCATTCATCCAATATTCCTTCAACCAGACATGCCATCCAAGGACCGCATGTCCCCATTCCACCATGACCCGGCCTCTGCCCTCCTTGAAAAACTCTTCTCCACCCTTACCGTAGAGACCCCAGCCCCTCTGACATCTTACCTCCCTTTCTTCCCCGCCATGGAACTAACCCATGTCTCTAGTGAGTGAGGTTGAAAGGAAGATAAACAAACAAACATGGAGCTTTTCTCCACTCCGATATAGGGACCAGCAGGTCACTAAGGTCAAACACATATGTGGATTACATAAATCATAGGTCTGAAGCAGGCGTTTGTGGTGCAGGAAGTTAAGCCGCCACTTGCGATGCTGGTATCTCATGTCTGAGTGCAGGTTTGAATCCCAGGTACACTGCTTCCCATCCAGCTCCCTACTAATGTGGCTGGGAAGGGCAATGGAAAGTGGCCCAAGTGCTTGGATCCCTGCCTCCTGTGTGGGAGAACCAGATGGAGTTCTGGGCCCCTAGCTTTGGTCTGGACCATCCCCAGCCATTGCAGCCATTTGGGGAGTGAACCTGCAGATGGAATATCTCTTTCCCAGGGCCAGCGCTTTGGCATAGTAGGGTAAGCCTCTGCCTGCAGCACCAGCATCCCATATGGGCACCTGTTAAAGTCCCAGCTGCTCTACTTTCAATCCAGACCCCTGCTAATGGCCTGGGGAAAGCAGCAGAAAATAGCCCAAGTACTTGGGCCCCTGCACCCATGTGGGAAACCTGAAGAAGCTCCTGGCCCCTGGCTTTGGATGGGCCCAGCTCCAGTCATTGTGGCTGTTTGGGGAGTGAATAAGCAAATGGAAGACTCTCTCCCTTTATCTATCTGTAACTCTTCCTCTCATATAAATAAATCTTAACAAAAAATGATCTCTTTCCCTGTCATTCTGCCTCTCAAATAAATAAACCTTTAATAAAAAGAATCACAGATCTGGAGTGGAAATTTAGTCTATTAATTTAGACGCTGGTATTCCATATCCAGAGTACCTGGGTTCAATTCCCAAGTCTAGCTCCTGACTCTGGATTCCTACCAGTGTAGGTCCTGAGGGGCAGCAGCCATGGCTAAAGTAATTTGTCCATGGAGGAGCGCTGGGTTGAGTTCCCAGCTCCTGGGCTTCAGCCTAGCCTCGCTGTTAGAGGCATTTGAAGGGTGAACCAACCTCCCTCCCTCCTCTCTCTCCTTCCCTCTCAAGTAAACATATAATTTAAAAAATAATAATAGCAGATCAGCCTCCCAAAACCTAGACACTGGCAGCCAAGATCTGGCCAGCAATGATTCCAGGATAGAAGCTCTGTGAGGCAATGACTCTCCTTCCACTGGATGGGGCTTAAAGTGATTGCATGTGTCATGGTTATTATATGGTGACTGAACATGATTATGGCATAAGCCAGTTTTTATAACAACAACATCTTCTGGTATAGATATGCTTTATTGTTTATTTTTTCATTTAATCCTTGCAGCAACCCTGAGGTAGGTATTATTATCCCCACTTTACACATGAGTAAACCAATGTCCCTAGGTTAGATTACTTGCTGAAGATCACACACTTACTGGTGGCAAAGCCACTGGTAATTCACACTGCAAGGGGACTCTTGAGTAGTTCACAGGCTGCTGCCAAGGAAAAGGAAAGCAGAAAACTTCAACTGGAAAGACTGGACCATTCACCAGAACTAACGGGGTCCCTCACAGGGATGAACGAGGCACATTCCAAGGCCTAGACTGGGAGTGAGAGCAAGAGAAGCCTAGAGCTCGTGGGAGCTGTGAAGCAGGACAACGTCTTGACATTTGGTGAGAGCTGACAGTGTCTTCAGATACGCAAAGCACCCAGCTTCCAGGGGTTGGAGGAAAAAGCAGGACTCCAGCAGCTACAAATCCAGAGACTGGCCACAGAGCAAGGAAGAGCTGCCTCAGAGCGGCACCATCTCAGATTGGCCACAGTACTCATGACCTTGGGGCAGTGGTCCTTTAACTTTGTTAAGGCCTTGAGAATCTGATGAAAACCATAAAACCTCCCCCCACAAGACAGACACATACAGGCAACAATTTGCATACAATTTCAGGGAGTCCATGGGCCCCAGGTGGGGGACTCCTGCTTTAGGGCAAGGGTGTCACCCTGAGTAAAGTCACTGGTACAAACCTATGCTGCTCATATTTCCTGTCACTGTTCCCCTCGTCATCCCCAAATATTTAGAATGTCATAAAGTTAACTTTTAATGGGAGCCAAGGAAACAGGATTGGACATACACTCCAGCTAAGAAAAGAGCAGCTGTGGCATGGCAGTGCTAGCAGCCAGAGGGCAAAAAGAGCAGGATGGGGTCCTACGTGCCACTGCCCTACCCACGCAGAAGGTCACTTTGGGAGCTTTTCCTGCTCAAATTTAGAGACGTGCTGTGGGGCAGCGAGGAGAGGGCAGTGTTTCACTTCCTTTCCCTTCCAACCTCTCCCCTCGATAGCCCCCATGGATAGACCTAAGCATCAGCCCAGTCACTTGTGCATACGTGGTCAGGGCTCCTGTGAGCACCTGTGTATTTACACACCCTCTGTTGTGAAGGAACGAAAACCGGGATGGGGGAGATCTCAGGGCAGCTTCCACATGGCAACAGGGGATCATGCACTCCCCACAGAGAATCAGATAAACTGGGAGAATCAGTAGAACCACTCCGAGGACTCAGTGCACACTAGTCCCAGCCCCTCCACGGCTCTTCCTTCTGGTCAGGGCCAACCAGAAAGTGAAGTCATAGCTATGTCTTATGCCCCATCCCCAAGACTAATGGGCCTAAGATAGGGACCAGGGCTGAAGGTTCACAGGAGTTCAGAGATGGGGGACAGGCCTGATTCACTGCAGAGAGCAGTTCTGATCTCTTTTGAGAACCAGGTATCAGGCAAAGGCCTGGCCCCAAGGCCCTCCAGGTCTGGAAACAGCAGACACTTTTGACAACTTGGTAATTTGCCCAGCTCTAGATGGATGTTTCATCACACGTGGCTAGAGGAGCCCCAGTTAGCCGAATGTGGGCTGGGCTTGAGCAAGGGTCAAGCAGGAAGGGTGGAGGGAAGCCACCAAAGCCACTGCCCCTCTTGGCCAGGGCCAGGGGCAGCCGCTCATCTTCAGGAGAAGGAGAAGGAGGGTCTTGGCTGTAGCTTGTGGTCCCAGACGGTGGGGCCCCTAGATCCAAGCCCACCTTGTCTCTAGCCAGAAGTTCTCTCTGTCGCCGTCGCTGCTGACGCCGACCAATCAGGAGAAGAGTCAGGGATGCTGCAAGAACCCCCAGTACAAAACCGGCCAGGCCAGCCCCCACTGTATGAGCCTGGCTCGGAAGGCCCCGCTGGCTGCCCCATACCAAGCTGTAGGCTGCTACAACACGAGCTGCCCCGCCCTCCTGACACTCACAAGCATAAGCGCCCATGGCCCCAGGGGTCACCACCACCTCCAGCCCATCCCGCCGTGGGGTGAGTGCAGTCACTCCACTGGGCCGGTGCCACACGCAGGACGCCCATGCTGAGCTGGGGGAACACGGCAAGATCACATGTGCAGCTGTAGCCACTGGAACTTCAAACACTACTGGGTGTTCTGCAGAGAGACAGGCAAGGCACAAAGGATGATGAGGCTACAGGTCACGAGTGTGGCAGAGAGATATAAGCGGTGCTATCAGACACAAGAAAGAGCTACAGGGACAAAGCTGAGAAAGGGGTTCCCTAAGAGGTAAGGCCTGGGTCACTGGCTGCCAAGTTTTAAAATGAGTCCAAATGAACAACTTTATAGCTGCTTTCCATCTCTTCCAACCACATTTCCCTAAGCCATACAGACCTCCTGGTTCTTTGGGACACAAAGAAGAGACGTCTGCTGACTCCATGTCTTGGACCAGCCTGTAAAGAAGAGAATACTTGGTAAATCCAGTGTCAACACTCCCTTCTCCTCTGCTCAGCAGCACTGAGCACTTACTCCTTTGGTAGTATCTCCCACGATCTTGTAACCTGCTCTTGGAATGAGCAGTCACCATTCTCCCACCACCAACTTGTTTCCCCAGTACCTCTTACATGCCTTACGACATTGGCCATGTCAGATTCTACACAGATCCCTAGCAGATCATGAAGAGCTAAATTTGCACCAGGTCTGTTGGAAAGACGATTGGCGGGAATGCTTTAAAACAGACAATGGGAACCTCCCAAGAAATGTGGCTGATTGTTCACGACTGCAAGATTTCTCTAGAATAAAAATATTAAAACTATAGTTATTATTTTCTGTTATTTAAGAGAAAGAGCAAACTTCTCTATAAAAAGCTAAATCACGATTCTGTGAGGATCTGTAGAAGGACTTTTTGTTCCAAAAAAGCCTCTCATCTCTACCAAGGAACTCCTCTCTCAAACAGATCCATACTGGATATAGCTGGCCTGTATGTTCTGGATCTGTCTCAAACAACCCAGTTCTGGTACTTCCAGGCTTTGGGTAGGCTGTGTCCTGTGAAGGGACAGCCAGCTGCAATGCTCTCGGCCGAGCTCTCTGGCACCGCTTCCTGAGAAGGGAAAGCCGTTGAATCCCCCAAAGGGTTGGCAGTGAAGGCGGAGGGAACGGTCTGAACACACAAAAGCCTCAACCAAAGACAGACTCTGCGGATGGATGAACTCCTGCAGTATGCACAGAGCTCCCTGAAATGAGCTCCAAGCCGGGTAGGAATAGATGGGAGTTTCTGCATCAAATGGCTGATTACATTAGCTCAGAGTAGAGCATGTGAGAAGCCCACATACAGCGCTGTAGCCTCAGGAACCTCATGGTCTGTGTTTTTCTCCCTTCTATGAACGGAGCTATGGGGGCTACAATGTACAAAAGTGCCAGTCCAGGACACTGGCATAGACACACACCCTATACTCTGCCCTCTGTATTCCCCCCACTCTCAAATATCTTAACAGAACCTTTGAAGCTCAAGTACACAAGCTACCTAAGACCAGAGACATTCATGTTTTAATAGATATTAAAACAAGGAAAAATACAGTTACTTTTGCCTTAGATGGTTAAAAACTCCCCCAAGGAGCCAGCAATGTGGCTTAGTGGATAAAACCACCACCTGCAGTGCCAGCATCCAATATGGGCACCAGTTTGAGTCATGGCTGGTCCACTTCAGATCCAGCTCCCCGCTGACATGCCTGGGAAAGCAGTAGAAGACAGCCCAAGTGCTTAGTACCTTGTACCCATGTGGGAGACCTGGAAGAAGCTCCTGGCTCTTGGCTTTGACTGGCCCAGTCCCAGCCATTGTGGCCATTTGGGGAGTGAACCAGTGGATGGAAGATACCTCTCTCTCTCTCTCTCTCTCTGTAATTCTGCCTTTCAAGTAAATAAAAAAAAATCTAAAAAAAAAAAAGTGGGGGCCAGAACTGTAGTGTAGCAGACAAAGTTGCCACCTACAGTGCCAGCATCCCATATGGGTGCCAGTTTGAGTCCTGGCTACTCCACTTCCAATCCAGCTCTCTGCTATGGCCTGGGAAAGCAGAAGGGGATGGCCCAAGTGCTTGGGCCCCTGCACCCATGTGGAAGACTTGGAAGAAGTTCCTGGCTCCTGGCTTCAGACCAGTCTGGCTCTGGTTGTTTCGGCCATTTGGGTAAAGAACCAGCGGATGCAAGATATCTTTCTCTCTACCTCTGCCTCTGTAACTCTGACTTTCAAATAAATAAATAAATCTTTTAAATTTTTTAAAAATATTTTATTATTTATTGAGAGGTAGAGTTACAGACAGAGTGAGAGACAGAGAAAAAGGTCTTCCTTCTGTTGGTTCACTCCCCAAATGGCCACAACGGCTGGAGTTGTGCTTATCCAAAGCCAGGAGCCAGGTGCTTCTTCCCAGTCTCCCATGCAGGTGCAGGGGCCCAAGCACCTGGGCCATCCTCCACTGGTTTCCCAGGTCACAGCAGAGAGCTAGATTGGAAGAGGAGCAGCCCCATATGGGATGCCAGCACCACAGGTGGATGATTAACCTACTGCGCCATGGCACAGTCTCCCCCCAAAAAAAACCTTTAAAAAATCATTTTAAATAAATAAATAAAAATTCTCCCAAAAGAAACTAAATGACCAGGTCAAAGTCCTTAGCCAAAAATGTAAAGCTGGTCAAACTTGCTATCTAAGAGTTACTTTATATCTCCAACTAGCAAAAAGTCAAGAGTCTGATCCAGAGATAGCATAAAATTTTACACTAAGAATCCAAAATATCCAAAATGTCTCTCAGGAAAACAAAATCAAATTTTATGATCACTCAGATTATATGCTAGTGATTTTAAAGACTGACTTTTTTAAAAGATTTATTTATTAATTTGAAATTCAGAGTTACACAGAGAGAGGAGAGGCAGAGAGAGAGAGAGAGAGAGAGAGAGAGAGAGTCTTCTGTCTGCTAGTTCACTCCCCAAATGATCACAATGGCCGGAGCTGGGCCTATCTGAAGTCAGGAGCCAGGAGCTTCTTCCGGGTCTCCCACATGGGTGCAGGGGCCCAAGGACTTGGGCCATCTTCCACTGCTTTCCCAGGCCACAGCAGAGAGCTGGATCAGAAGTGGAGCAGCCAGGACTCAAACCAGCACCCATATAGGATGCTGGCACTGTAGGCAGAAGCTTTACCTGCTATGCCACAGCGCTGGCCCCCAAGTCTGACTCTCTTTTCACATGTGTGAATTATTTTATTTCCAAAAACAAGGACTTACTTCTAAAGGATCTGTAACTTTGGGGCTCTGTAATATACTAAAGTCCTGTTTATACTTGGGGTTCTGTATTTTACAAATTTACCTTAAATTAACTGAGCTTCAAAATAGGAAATCTCAAGATTAATTTTAAAAGATATTTTCCAAACAACTGATCAAAAATATGTCACTGAAGTTTCAAGCATTCAGCCTAGTGGTTAAGACGCATGAATCCCATAACAAAGTGCCTGGGTTCAATTCCTGGCTCTGGCTCCTGACTCCTGTTTCCTACTAATGCAGGCCCTGGGAGGCAGAGATGATGGCTCCAGTAATTGGGTTCCTGCCACCCATGAGAGAGACCTGGACTGTGTTCCTGGATATACCTGCTGGCCTAACCTTAGCCACTGCAGGTATTTGGGGAGTAAACCAGTGGACAGGAGTGTTTTTTTTTTTTTTTAAAGATCTATTTATTTATTTGAAAGTCAAAGTTACACAGAGAGAGAAGGAGAGGCAGAGAGAAAGAGAGAACCATCTGCTGGTTCACTTCCCAGTTGCCGCATAGGCCAGAGATGGGCCCATCTGAAGCCAGGAGCCAGGAGATTCTTCTGGGTCTCCTATGCAGGTGCAGGGGCCCAAGGACTTGAGCCATCTTCTACTGCTTTCCCAGGCCATAGCAGAGAGCTGGAATCAGAAGTGGAGCAGCTGAGACTCCATCTGGAACCCATATGGGATGCCGGCACTGCAGGTGGCAGCTTTACCTGATATGCCACAGCGCCAGCCCCAGGAGTGTTCTTTTTCTGTCTCTCCTCCCATTTCTCTCTCTCTCCCTCTTTGCTTCTGAAATAACTAAATTTTTAAAAATTTACAAATACTCTATTGAGAGGATCTCAACTAAAGATTCTAATAAACATATCAACAATCTACAGTTGATAGACATTATTTGGATCCTGACTTAACTGAGTTAAGTCTATGTAATTGGGGAAACTGGCCAGATATTTGATAAGAAATTAAGTTTTATATTATAATGGTAAATATAAGTATGGTTAACTTTTTTAAAGAAGCCCTTCTGTTATTAGATACACACACATAATGGTGTATGGATGAAATGATATGATATCTAAGATCTGTTCCCAAATCACTGGGAGTGGAATATTGATGAGCAAGTTTGGCTAAGAGTTGATGACTGCTGAAGCTGATGGGTGGATACATAGGAATTCATTATACTAGTCTCTCTACTTTTGAATATATTTGAAATTTCTTATATTAAATGTTTTTAACAGAGCCCTCATCTGGTAAAAATACATATTGGAATATTTGAGGCTAATATGTCAGGGATTTGCTTCAATATGACATATGCTTTCAGGCTAGCTACTGAATGGAAAGTGGATGATAGGTGCCCAAAAAGGACAAAGGTAGCCCAAATAGGAGATTACTAGAGTGGTCCAGTAAAGAAGCAGTGATGGCTGAGACTGCAGTAATAGCAGCAAAGGTAAAAGGAAGAGGGTGGACTGAAGGTAAGTTTGGAAGCGGGGCCAAAGTTTGGGATGTAGAGGGTTAACTCCCTGGCCTGAAGCACCAGCATCCCATATGGGCGCCAGTTCAGGACCCAGCTGCTCCACTTCCGATCCAGCTCTCTGCTATGGCCTGGGAAAGCAGTGGAAGATGGCCCAAGTCCTTGGGCCCCTGCACCCATGTGGGAGACCCAGAAGAAGCTCCTGGCTCCTGACTCCTAGCTCCTGGCCCCTGGTTTCGGATCGGCACAGCTCTGGGCATTGTGGCCAATTGGAGAGTGAACCAGCAGATGGAAGACCCCTCTCTCTCTCTCTCTGTGTATGTGTAACTCTTTCAAATAAACAAATAAATCTTTAAAAATAAAAAGATAAGTTTGGGAGCTGGAATTAGTACAAGTTGCAATGCCATTGTGGGCAATTTATGGTTTGAGCAACTGAATGGATGCAGGTTTCTTTATTGAGGCAAGGAAAACCAGAGGAGGAGCATGTGAGGGAAAGAAGAAACAGCAGTGCAAACTTAACTTGCTAAGTTTGAGCTGCTTCAGAAGCAGCCAAGGGGAATATGATATAGGCAGTTGTAATGGGAATTCTGCAGCTCAGCTAGAGATACGTTTGTAGTTGTCATCACCACTCGAATGGTCCTGAAGGTAATGGGAATGAAATCAACTAGACAGAATGTAGAAATGTGAAGAATGGACTAGGGGCCAACTTTGTAGCATAGCAGGTAAAGCCGCTGCCTTCCAGCTGGCATCTCATATCAGTGTGGGTTCAAGTCTGTGCTCGTCCTCTTCCAATGAATCTCCCTGCTAACATGCCAGGGGAAGCCGCAGAAAATGGCCCAAGTGCTTGGGACCCTGCACCCACGTGGGAGACCAGGAAGAACCTCCTTGCTCCTGGCTTCAGCCTGGCTCACCCCCTGTTGTTGCAGCCATTTGGGAAGTGAACTGGTAGATGTAAGATCTCTGTGTCTCTCACTCTCTCTCTGTAACTCTGCCTTCAAGTAAATAAAATAAACCTTAAAAAAAAAAAGAAGAGGAGGAGTCTACTACTGACCCCTAAGAAATACAGCATTCAGCAGTTGGATGGGAAAAGAAGTCAGAATGGGAGACAGGAGACGGCAGAGTCATAGAAGCAAGAGGAAAGGCAGTTCCAGGGAGGAAGGAGAGAGCAACTGTGGAACACTTCTGCCAGCTCTTGAAGACAAACACTTAAAAGTATCCCTTAGAGACAGGAACATGGAGTCAGTCCCACAGTCAGGGCAGGTCCAGCTGAGAGGCTAGGACATGGATGAGGCAGCACCAGTTAGAAAGAGGAGTTGGCATGGGCAGATGGACACACAAGTGATACAGACACACCAACACACGGAAAACACACACACCCAGATAGGGCAGCATTAACAGATGAGAAATGGATATAGACAGAGGGACGGGCCAGAGCCCCATGCAGCGACACTCACCCTCGGTGTTCCCCAGCATGGGCCACACAGGCATCCAGCCGGGGGCTCCAGGCACAGACAGGGTCCTGAGCCAGGATGCATTCTGAGCAGCTCTGCAGACGGCCACAGTTGGTTGTGTTCACTTGTGTCACCTCGGTACGGGAGCCAACCAGCAGCCAGCCCTACAGAAAGGGAGTGGACAAGGTGAAAACACTGGCTCACCTGCATCTTTGGGTCACAAACAGGTTCTGCATTCAGATTTGTCCCCAGAAGATTCCTCCAAATCTACAACTCACGTGGTACAATTTCATGTTCTCAACCGGCTGTGGTTCTGGGAATAAAGTGAGATCCTCCAGGACGCTGAGCTGGGCTCCGATGCGCACTGCTCGGTGCAGGTGTCCGTCCTCTAGGAGGCAGGCAAGGGGTGAGAATAATGACAGGACTGTCTCTGGGCCTGGGCTCTGCCACCAGGGTATACTAGGAGACCCCCTCGCTGAGGTAAGTGTGTGTGCACTGGACTGCCAAGTTGTTTGACCAGCAAGCATACCTGTCCCCAGGTAGAGCACATCATACTCTTTCCCTGAGAGGCTGGTCACCCTGTGGGCCACGACTCTGAGATAGGCTGTGTCGGTGGTGACCAGGAGGGGATGGCTGTCAGCTGGAGACACTGGCTTGTCCATCAGCGGGTGATCCCGGATGAAGGTGAGAACACGGTCGGGCAGGGAGAGAGATGAACTGAACTGCTGCAGCTTCATGTTGTTGGTGATGCACTAGAGGAAGCACAGGGCTGGGTGACAAAGTTTCCCAGGGAACAGGAGGTGTTAGTAATGCTTGCTGGGGTTCTTACCCTAGTAGCAGCCCTTTAATTCAGGTCTGGGATGAAAACATTCCCTGGCCCCCTTACCTCTCCAGGTCTAGGCTGGGGCACATCGTTGTCCAAAACAGGTAGTCCCCTGTTGCAGTCATGCTTTAGCTCTCTGAAGGGACCACTGAACACTTTCCGAATGTCTTGTGGTTGGAAGGCACAAACTGCAGAGATGGCAGCCCCCTCCCTGGAAGAGTCATGGATTGGAGCCTGATATTTGGAGGGAGCTGGGGGACTGCAGCTCATCCCTTATCAAATGAGATGACCCACCAGAAATACATAGGAAGCCACGCAGCCAAAGGAGGGAGAGCCTGCCCCGGGAGGAAACAGCACCGACATTGTGCCAACCCCATGTATGTCCCACCTTGCAACCCTCCTGCCCACCAGGACCCCTCACCACTGTGAGGAAAAGATGCCATAAAAGATGGGGGTGCCCGTTCCAGGCTCCGGTCGAAGGACGGCCATGTCCTGAAGGACACTGGGAGCTCTGCCGTGCTCGGGCCTGGGACACAGCAGGTCGGCCTTCAGAAATGTCGTCCACCTCTGCTGGAGGGTCTTACGGCCCCCAAGGTCCCCCTGGGGTGACAAACACAGGAGAAGTTCTCTTTAGAAACCCAACACTGGGCAAGGAGTACGGAGACTAATATAAACAGCCTCCCAACTTCAGGGCAGATACAGATGGGGAGACGGGTGCCTAAAATGCAAGGACATGGATACTGACAGAGGAATTGAGGGGCTCCTGAGACACAGCGGCGGGTGGGGCCCCAGTAACCAGGACAGTGCACGTATAAAGTACTGTACTACATGGTGCTGTACTTGAGCGACCTCATTTAGTCCCCACAACTACCCTTTCATGCAGGCATCACTGCTATCCTCACCTTACACCTGAGTCTCTGTGAACTAAAGAACTTCCTGGGGTCACAGAGACAGAGAGTGGCAGGGACTGGAACTCAGGGCTATCTGTTAACAGTTCCCGCCCTTAATTTCTCTACTCCATCTCGTGTGGACAACAACGTGTCACCAGGGTAAATAAGTGCAGGAACAGAGGGAGGGTCAGAGACCACAGCCCCTCCCCCATGCTCTTCAAGTTCCCAGAGAATAAGTTAAGGAGGAGAAAAAGGGAGACAGGAAAGATACAGGGAGTGCAACCTAGAGGAAGAGATAAGAAGACAGACAGCCAGGAAGGGAGGATCTCACCGCACACACGCGGGCCACCCGTGGGACCTTAATGGGCTCGTAGGAGTCAAATGCTCGAGAGGTCTCCGTAAAGAAGAAGTAGATTTCCTCGTCTCCATCTTCATCCCCCCACTCCGCTGGGCTCAAGGCCACGGCTGAAACAAAGGCTGGGGCTGGGGAGACCAGTGGCCTCAGATCCGGGACACAGCCTGGGGCTACCCAGCCCCCACCCCATCTGTCCCCCAGAGGGTCCCTCCCCCTCTCCCCACCGTTAAGCCAGGATGGCAAAGTCTCTGTGCGAATCCAGTCCTCGGCACGACCCACAGCCCGGGAGATAATCGGCTCCGTCCCCAGGTAGTTTTTCACCGTGGCGGCATAGAGGACCCCCCCTGCAGGGCAACAGGGAGGAGATGGGCTGTCAGAGCCCCCCTGGTCACAGGAAGAGCAGCAACTCTCAGAGCCAGGTGCTGCCAAGCACACCACAGGGGACCTCCTCACAAGGGCTCCAAGGGCACGTTCAAAGGAAAACTGTGCCTGAATGCCCCTGACTACCAAGAGAGAAGGCCTCCCTCCTGGAAATCAGGCTTGTTGTCTGGGGTTGTTGGCTGTTTCAAGATCCCTGTAATTTGCTGATTATCTCCGAAAAGGTGGTTTGCGTCACAGCACCTCCCGGTCTTACTGAAGTCCTCCTGCCATAACAAATGTCAGAGGGAACCAGGGTTCTTTTGGAACATTAGTGGGTGTGCATTGGTCTGGAACAAGTCACAACTTTAGAGTTACTAAAACACTTGGGAAATTGATCGCAATGCAGATCTCTGGGCCCTGGACTCAGCAATTCTTTTTCAGCAGAACTGAGATGGCTCAAGAATCTGCATGGCGAACAAGCACCTGGAATTACTCAGCTGCAGGTCATTCAAGACCTTGCTTGAAACACATCAGCCCAGGGGACAAAGGGTTTCGCAGACAGCCAGAGGGCATGGAGGAATCCCGGCCTCCCTCCTGGTGCAGCGGTAGGGCACGGTGCTCTGGGATGGTGGGGATTGGGGTTGGCACTTTGTGGGATAATGTGAGGGAACTACAGCCACTCTGAGTGACACTGCCAAGGGCTCAGACACAAGTAGGAAGAAAATACCTCGGAGTACTAGAAGGTCAAGAACCTGCTGGAGGAGTCTTGATTATCATGGGCACTCTTCAGAGAAGGGGGCATGCCTTCAGCACCTGCTATACACGTGGCACCATGCTGGGGGCTAAGCACATCCCTGCCCCCAAGAACTGCCACTGGCGTCAGGAAGACAGTCTGATCAGATACCAGGAGGCATGGATGCTAATGGACAGGGTGAAGGGTACCAGAGAGGAGGACCAAGCCTTCTCTACTACTTTGAGGGGAACAGCATCTCCAAGGCAACATTCAAGCTGGGTCTGAAAAATGAGAGACAGGAAGACTTCAGGGAGGAAAACAAGCAAGTGGTGCAGGGGGAGCTGTGTCTGGGCACATGGGACACGAGCAGCTGAGGCTCTGGGTAGCAGAGAGGGGCTGCCCACTGGCACAAGGACAGCAGAGATGCAGCTGGGAGGGTGGCACCGAGCACCTGACCATGATGACTGTACTCTGCCATGTTGAGAATGTGCACTTTATTTCAGAGGGCAGAGTGAGTCTGCAGCAGTACTCAATTTTTTTTTTTCCAGAAAATAATGCTAGTTAAAAGGCCATCCACATAGTCCAGGCAAGAGTGGAAGACCTGAACTAAGGAAAGGGCAGAGAAAATGAAAGGGCTGCATTTGGGAGATACTTCTGAGGCAGACTCCATTACCAAAGTTTGAAAATTGAAAATCAATCAAGATGAGATGTGAGAGAACAGAGTCAAAGAACGTCTCTTAAGGTTTCTAGCTGATAAGATTGATGATGCTAGTTTGCATCATGAGCCAAGCCAGGAAATGAAAGTAGAAGGCCCATTAAGGAGGCACTTGGAGAAGCAAGTTCGGTTGTTGGCCATTTTAGTGCCTCTAGGATACTGGCCAGAGATGCCAGAAGGCAATTAAAAGGAAGGCCCAGAGTCAGCAACTTAGGAGTCATCGCATGGCCTGCTGAAGTCACCACAAGAACGTGGAAGACAGGGGGAAATCAATGTAAAAAGGGAGCCCTGGGGAGCACCAGCATTGATGGGGAGGAGCTGCTGAAGGCCACTGAGAAGACCAAGTCAGAGAGGCCAGAGGAGCATGGAAGGCTGGTATGCTGGCAACTGATGCACCAGAGCCGTGGGGCTCACGCACATGAGGCGAAGGAGGGGAGAGCAGGCCTCCTGGAGGAAGCAGTCACCCTGTGTCACAGATGTCCAGAGCAGCAGCGTGTCGCAGGCACTGGCAAGGCAACCAGCATTGAAAACACACTCTATGCAGAGGAGAAGGGCAAGCGCCCCTCAGTGGGCAGCAGTGGGGGAGTAGAAAGCCCCAGGCAAGGTGCAGGTGAGATCATTTGAGATTGTGTCCTGGAGCCAGGGAGACGTGGCTCTGAAACCCTGACTGCTGAGTAGGTAGTATGATCCTGGGTAAATTAACTTTCCAAAATCTCAAGTTCCGCCACTGTAGAATGGGGATACTTTTACCTTCCACACAGAGTAGCACTGAGGGTTAAACAAGATAACAAGCGCAGAGCCCTAGCTGAGGCCTGGCACACGGTCAGCACTCAGCACACGTTAGTGCAGTTTCATAGGAAACCTCCAATGGCCATGTGCTTGATTTGCTACCAGAAGGGGAGGGTGGGGTGGGGAATTGGCTCTGTGACGTAGTAGGCTAAGCCTCCACCCATGGTGCCAGGATCCCATATGGGTACCAGTTCATGTCCCAGCTGCCCCTCTTCTGATCCAGCTCTATGGCCTGGGAAAACAGTGGAGGATGGCCCAAGAGCTTGGTACCCAACATCCACGAAGGGGACATGGAGGAAGCTCCTGGCTCCTGGTTTCCGATCAGCCATTGCAGCCACCTTGGGAGTGGACCATCAGATGGAAGACCTCTCTCCCTCTCTCTGTCTGTGGCTCTGCCTCTCATATAAATAAATAAAATCTTAAAAAAAAAAAAAGACAATAGGATGGAGGGTGTTATAAAATGACATCCCATTGCCTTTCAAGAAATTTCAAGAGTAAAAACCCAAGTATTGGTTACAGGTCCCAGCAACAAATGGAACAGCCAAGGAGCTAACCCTCTGTACTTCAATAGGGGGAAAAGTTGATACAGAAGCCGAAGTTTGATTGAAAACTTTCCCTAAGAACATGACACCTAGCAGAAGCTGTGTCATGGTTACCCTGAGAACCACAGGACATGTGATAAAGGACCACAGATAACCATGCAAAGAACCCATGGGATGGAAGTAAAGGGTCCCAAAACTTTCTAAGGGATAAGAAGGAGTCAGAAACACTGGAACCTAGAAATGCTGGAGAAAGCACAATCATTCAAGGCAGAATAGCAGAGGGGTCATGGACACAAAGTGACCTCACAAAGGGTCAGCACTTCAGGAGGAAGTAGTAGGGCTCCAGGCACCCGCAGAGTACCAAGGGACTTGTCACACACACACACACACACACCCTCCCTCCCACTCTGGAATAGCAGCCATTGTGGTTGCAGGGACAGGAAGACACTGGATCACCACATGACCTAAATTCTGCAGGACATTCAAGTCCAAATATTCTGTCACATTGTTCATATAATAAAATATCCCTGCATATGCAATGGCTCAGCAAATGGTTGCTGAATGGATCAACTAGTAAACATTAAAAAATGTATCTGCCATTGGCAAAGGATGTGCATAGGAGAGTGATACTCACAGTGAACAGCTGGTTAGAAAATTTTAAAAACTGTGGATAATTCAACCCTGTTTTTATTTCTAAGAATATGTATACATGTCTGCAGGCACAGGAAAAATTGTTAAAGGAGCTATAACTCTACAGTGTTAATGATGTTTGTTTCTGACTAATGGAATGACAAGTGTTTTTTATTTATTTATACTTTTTGTATTCACTGAATGTGTTGTGCAGTTAGCATCTCTTACCTTTATAACTCCCCAAATTAAGAAAGTTTAATTTTGAAATATAAAAAATAGGGGCCGGCGCTGTGGTACAGTGGGCTAATGCCTTGGCCTGAAGCACCAGCATTCCATATGGGTGCTGGTTCGAGACCTGGCTGCTCCGCTTCCGATCCAGCTCTCTGCTATGGCCTGGGAAAACAGTAGAAGATGGCCCAAGTCCTTGGGCCCCTGCACCCGCGTGGGAGACCCGGAAGAAGTTCCTGGCTCCTGGCTCCTGGCTTCAGATTGGCACAGCTCCAGCCGTTGCAGCCAATTGGGGAGTGAACCATCAGATGGAAGACCTCTCTCTCTCTCTCTCTTTCTCTCTCTCTCTCTGCCTCTCCTCTCTCTGTGTAACTCTGACTTTCAAATAAATAAATAAATCTTTAAAAAAAAGAAATACAAAAAATAAATAAAAGATTAAAACCATAAAAAAATTAAGAATCACAGTCAAAGAAAAAAATCACAGTTATATGTGAAAATAGATTCTGCTCGCCCAGATGGAAAGTCTGTGGACACAGGTTCTCAAAGGTGTTAGCAGTTCAAAACTGACAGGCGAGGATATGTGCCATGACAGTGAATATTTCAATACAACCCAGGGTTTCAAATTTCCATTCTGGTATCAAAACATTCACTTTTAAAAGTGTATTTACAACAGGAATTATCCATTCATTCATCTTAAAAAGAGGTTTTTAAATAGGCCCTGGCTTTTCTTCTGTTATATTGGCTGGTTTTCAGCACACATAACTCCTAATATTTTCCATTTCCTTTTCTAAGGATTACCAGCTGGCTATTAAAAAAAAAAAACAGCTTATTATTGGGACATAATTCAATAGCTGGAGATGCAGTGTTTATCTATCTCTGTGAGCCCTATAGGATTTTTCTGTCTTGTTTCAGGGTGTGAATGCTAGTCATGGGACATGGGGCACGAGGATTTAAGAGGTAGGCTTGGCCCCAAAATGCTAGCAGCACTCACTGCATATAGAACACATGCAGCGCTCCTTGGCAGATGCATTAATCACAAGAAGCAACGAGACTGAAAGCAGATGATGAAAACACAGGAAAGAGCAAAAGCCTCTGCTCTTCTTGATAAAAGCCCTATTTGTTAAAGGATATGGTGGAGGCCCAAAGATGCTTGACTGCTGTCTCTGCTGGGGTACCTGGGTGAGGAATGGCTCTGTGCACTCAGAGGAGGGAACATTGGGTGGGGGGCGGAGGAGGGGGAATGAAACAGGTGTGGGGAAGTTAAGTGAAGGTGATGAGCTCAGTTTGGGATTCCTATGGGGCATCCAGGTGAAGATGTCTAGAAAACAGCTGGATGTTCTATAGATAATACTGGGAGGCCAACTCAGATTTGGAAGGGATCAGAATGCCGTTCAAACAGAAGCTTCAGGGCTGGCTGAGGTCACAACTACATAGCAAGAGAAGACGCTCTAGGGTAGAAGCCTAAGGAACCTCAGTATTTAAAGGATGAGCAGAAGGCAAAGAACCTACCAAGGAGCCTGGGAAGAAACCATCAATGTTTTTAGGCTAATGTGACTGTTTTGACCAAAACAGATTTTTCCAAACCTGAATAGTGAAAACAAACACTAAGATCATTTTATTAACTTTACCTAGGTGCAGTTCAAATAAACATATTTGAAAACAAAATTTCTGAAGATTTTCCCAAAAGTACCAATAAACATAAGAAAAAGTGTCCAATCTCCCTAACAGAAATCCCTATCAAAATACACATCCAGTTGGATTTTGGATGAGGTCACTGTATGTTTGTCAACTATATATTACTTAGGATTGATAAGGGCACACTGAAACAGACCCCCTTGTCATCACTGGTGGACTAACTGCAAAGCAATTTGTCCTGATCTATCAACATCATCAAAATCTTTATTACCCTTTGACCTAGGAATTCCACTTTTTGTATTTATTCACATATAATTAATGAGAATCATAAAGGATTTACATAAAAGCATATATAAAATTATTTTTGCTATAGCACCAATTGTAAGAAATATTTTAAATTTTGAATGTATAATTATATAGAAATAATTAAATTATGCTACATCCATAATGATGTAAGAAAATACAATTACTAGAAACTATGTTTTGAATAATCAATTTCTATGATGAGAAAATGCTCAGTATAAAATACTAAATGAAATATGCATAATACCAATTTATTATAAATACACATATACATGTAGACATGTAGACAGACACAGAAGAAAACATTCAAAACATTCCCAAATAATAATAGCAATTACTTGGTGATGAGAGACAAACAATAAGGTTTTTACTTTCTTCCTTACACATTCCTATTTTCTCAATTTTCTACAATGCACATTGTATTTTTAATAATTAAAAATAAAGAAATGCTCCTGCTATTTTATCCTTGTAATATTTTCACTACTAAAAGCTCTTTTTTAATTTCAAAGTACTTCCATTATCGTTAAGGACGTTTTCATAGATCCTAATTGGGAGTTTTGGTTCTGGTTCTTACATAATGTTGCCACTATCTCCTATGCTGCTGTCTTCAAAACAGAGGTGCCACAGGGCAAAATGGTCAGTATTGAAAGCCCTGAGCGAATATAGGGACTTACATTAGACCAAGAAAAATTTTTAATTATAGCTCTGTGAAGTTAGAACTACAGTGGAAATTTTATAATATTGATATTCACTGTGATTTTGGTCCAAGACAGCTGGAGACAGAGGTGATATATTAACTGAAGTCAGTAATTCTCAACTACTAAAAAGTGAATTCTAATCCCCTGAAAGGCTTACCCCTGAATTTTACTATCTGAGGGAAAATACCTGAAACCATTTTGAAAATGTTCTTCCCACTCTACAATAATCTCATTTATGAAATGTGTATCCCTATACTACATCCTAATACAAATTCACTGACTGAACAAAGAAAAATTACTCACAGAATTACCCTTACTTAAGATTCCTGCTTGAAACAAAATATGTTAGCTAATTATATTGACTGCTGTAATGAGAAGTCAATTTTGTTGATAAACAAGTTTGTAGAACAAAGAGATAGTCACAGCCACTAAAACTCAGACATCTAAATTTTGCCAAATATGTTGATAAAAAGCCAAGAAAAATAAACTATTGATTCAACTGCTTTATCCAAACATGGATGAGTACGAGCAATATCTCATCAGTTTTGACAGTAGATAATGAGAATCATGACAAATACAGAATTTACTCAACATATACTTTATGTCCAGTGTCAAAAACTTTTATGCTATTTTACTGTTTTTCACCAAAGGTAAGTCTTTAACTTTATGACTAAAGAAGGATTCAATCTGTACTATTTTTAACTTTTTCTTAAAGGTAAAGTCACACACAAAAAGTTTTCATTGTTAGATCTTATGTCTCAACTTTTGGTCTACATAAAATATCATCCAAAAGTACTGGTAAAAAAAACTTCATGATAGGGGCTGGTGCCGTGGCTCACTTGGTTAATCCTCTGCCTGTGGTGCCAGCATCCCATGTGGACGCCGGGTTCTAGTCCCGGTTGCTCCTCTTCCAGTCCAGCTCTTTGCTGTGGCCTGGGAGGGCAGTGGAGGATGGCCCAAGTGCTTGGGTGCCTGCATCCGCATGGGAGACCAGGAGGAAGCACCTGGCTCCTGGCTTCGGATCGGCATAGCTCCGGCCGTAGTGGCCATTTGGGGGGTAAACCAACGAAGGAGACCTTTCTCTCTGTCTCTCTCTCACTGTCTAACTGTATCTGTCAAATAAAAAAAAAAAAACTTGATGATAAAGTTGTCAGCAAAAGTTAGTAAAGGAAGAAAAGATGGTGTGATGAATGATGCTGAGTCAACTGCTTGGCTAGATGTGAAAAAATAATTCAGACCCCCATCCCACACCTTTCAGCAAAACAGGCACCAAAGAGATCAAAGAGTTAAATGTTTGGGAAAAAAATTTTCAGAAGAAAACTTCTTATCTGTTCTCTAAATAAAGTACTGAGAAAATATAATAAAAAGCAAATATAATCACAAAGGAAAGGATATGCAGATTGAAACATTAATATCCTACCCATTAACAGGCTCAAGAAGATGAGCAGATCTGCCAAAGAGATAAAAATAAGCACTAAAACATGAAAATTAGTCAACTTCATTAATAGCCAAAGAAATGAATATTACAACAAGGTGCCAATTTTATTATAAATTAACTAAGTATTTTTAAATGACAATAATGCATTCTTGTGAAATTTATGTGAGAAAAAACACACACTCACTGCAGGTTTAGGGTGTAAACTATACACACTTTCTAAAAGCTCAATTAGCAACCTATAATGAGCCATAAAACATTCACACCCTTTGATGTAGTGATCCATTTCTAGGAATCTTAAGGAGACATTCTAAAGGAAGGACGAAAAATGTATGCACAAAAAGTTCATTACAGCAATATGGATAACAGCAAAAAGTTTGAAGTTAACTAAATAAATTTATATAAATGATTTGGAATTGTTTAATTAACTGATGATATGCTCACAAGATAGGTAATGCATCCTTAAAAATGTTCTTAACAAAGAATTTTAAAACTATATAACAATGCCTATGCTACTATATTGGCCAGGGCAGATCAAGAACACATAATCACACAAAGTTGTTTTAGATAGTGTTGTTTTAGAAGATGTTTTATGTCCTTTTTTGTACTTTTTCCAACTGTATTACAATATGCATTGTAGTAGATTTTTCTTATAAACAAACAAAAAAACACAATGAGAAAAGAAAATGAGGTTAACAGAGGAAACACTCACACTGGAGGTGCAGAGGACACAGTCTTTAGGGAGAATCCCAGGGGAAATAGTAGCCTATGGGGAAAAGTAGGTGATCACAGGCACTCAAGGAAGAACAGGAAAGGCTAAAAAGATATGTAGAAATAATAGACATTCTGAGGAAAGGAAAGACACAGAAATTCTAACAGCAGGGCTGGGGAAGGAGGCAATTAGAGTAAGATGTCACAGATTCTTGTCTCTCCCCACTCACCAGCCATTACAGCTGCTGACCGCTGAGCTGGCTCAAAAGGACATTTCCCCCGGCCACTCTCAAGTCTTTCAACCTGCTGGAAACTGGACACATCCTACAGACCAGAAGGGGGCAATTGGTTTAGGGGTTATAGGGAAGGTTCATGTCAAGAATTAAATATTCCCAGTCAGCTATCCCTGATTCCCCTACCTATTCCTGTATTTTCCATCTCTGCCATCTCTTTTTCACCAGTTTACTCCTCTCCCCTCAATTCCTCTAGTACTCAACATTCACATTCCCTTACAAAAGAACACCTAGGGTGACCCTAGAAGACATCAGGAGACTGAAGCCAGGTCTTTCCTCTAAAATGGTGCTTTACTGTGGGTTTTGCAACAGGCTAGAGAATGTGTACAAGGTCAGGGGACCAGGGAAGAAGGCACAGATCCTAAGGGCTGGAGCCTCAGGAAGGGTAAGGGGATGCACAGGCTAATAGAGGATCATCAGTAGCCCAAGGTCCTAGGGAAGGAAGGGCCACTCTTCCACTACTGGCACCCCAAGAATGAAAGGCGTGGCCTGAATCATCCATCCAAGTGGCGGAGGGAACAAGCTCAGGTCAGAATTTGAGGGTTTGGTAGGTAAGTTCCTCCTTTACCCTGGGGCTCCAGAGGGACTGACCCGGGTGGCAGGCAAGAGGTCTAAGAGTTCTACCTGGACCAGCCAGCGGTTACCTTAGTCTAGCACCCAGCACTAAGAGAAGCTTTAAGATAGTATCTAAAAATGAAAATCAAGGATGATTTCAACTGAGGACCACAAGGGAAGTTAACAGAAGTTGATTCTGAATCACAGTTGTGGCATGGAAATGCCAGGCATGCCAATCTAGGATGGGCATACAGTGCTGCTGGAGCCTGATTACTCTGGTGGTAGTTGGAGGAGCAACATAGATACTTGTCCCTTGAGTACAATATACTGCCAGCCCATCGGACTGCTCATATCTTTGCTGTATATGACAGGCAGGTTTTATCTCATGAGTCAATTTTGAAGAAGGCCTGTTAAAATTAGAAGTGATGTGAGGGCCCTTAAGAGAAGATATTGGGTCAAAAGAGCCTAGTAGAAGGGAAGATCCCGCAGTACAAGTTCCGCACCTGTGTGGCAGTGGAAGTATCCTCACCCAAGTGGGGAGACAGTTTGGTGCAGGATTAACAAGAGGTTCAGGGGCTCTCAAGATGTGCTTCATACCTGCTGCTGCTTCCCCTCTCGCTTCTCACCTCAACGGTGGCAGTAATCTCTTTTCTTCATATTCTCTAGCCTCACCCCTAACTTATTCTACATATCTACCTAAGATTAATCTTCCAAAGTATCACTGGTTTGATAATACATTTTTTAGCAAGAGCATGAAAAAAATGGTTCGTTATTGCCTGAAGTACAAACTCTTTAGCCCAACCTAAATATATTTTGCTATTCTCAAAATTATCTTTGTTCTAGCCAAACCAGATTTCCTGTTAAGCTTGGAAAGCAAACTGTATTCTTCCATCTCTATGTCTAAAAATACTTCCTTACATTTCACCAAAGACTAAAAAGAACCTTTTCTCAGTGCCCATTCTCTTTAGTTTTTATGTACCACCATGTGACACTTTTGACTCATTCTCTTCTTTGAAACTTTCTATTACTTGTCTTGACAATCTACTCTCCTAGAGTCCCTCTTCCCATCTTTTATTTCTTGATTTCCTTCTCTCTAGTCTCTACATGTGTATCCTAATGATCTATCCTTATTCCTTTCCATATATTCTTCAAAGATCTCATTCATTCTTATATTTCCAGTCAGACTTTCTATGCAAATCACCCACCAAACTCTCCAAGTCTGATGTCTTCCAAACTCTATTCTATGTTTTCATTTGATTGCTGGGCTTCCTCACAGAGATCACCAACAGTCAACATGTCCCTTAACATTCAACATGTCAAAACTAGTCCTCTTCCAGTTTCCCATAATGGTATCATTATGTCAACGAGGTTCCGATACTTTAAGAAAGTGAGTCCCTATTAACTAGACAGATTATGATTATGATATGGTTGAAGGGACCACTGACTGGGATCTAAAAGAGGCAAGACCTTTCTACTACAACCTCTGTGTGAAGGCTGAGATTCTTCAGTGTTGTCAGCATAGACTCAGTCAGCTGTGGTGACAGCAAGTTCCTCAAGCTGAAAGCCAGGGCTGGATAAAAGACCCTCACTCACTGAGCTGGATGGCTGGAACCAGTCATTTAGCCTTAGCCAAGAAGGATCCAGGGTACATAAAGGACCTCTCCCACACGACTAAAAGAAAAAAAAAAAAAAAAAAAAAAAAGATGGCCCTGTTATATGAAACACATCAAATGCCACCAAAAAAAAAAAAAATGAACCAGATAAGGCCTCTGGGCTACAGGCTGGATTAGTGAGACCAGTTAGTGGAGAAGAGTCAGATAAAACTAGGTTTAAATTTTGGCTCTGCTTCTGCTAGCTATATTACTTTAAACGTGGTACCTAATTTCTTTGAACTTTGGTTTCTTTATTTATGAAGTAGAAATAAATAATACCTAAATATTATAATGGGGTAATGAGAATTAAACTTCATCATGAACTCAAGTGCCTTGGAACAGAGTAGATACCCAATTGAACAGCTGTTGCTGTTGTCATAATTTGAGGTGTACCACTTTCTCCATTAACTGCTGGAGTTCCCTCAATAAAACAAAGTAAAATATTTCCCCCAGTGTCTGATGATCTGTTGCTGAAGGACAGCTCTCCATTGCAGGAGCTGGTAGATCCAACGCTTGACCTTCCTTTCTGTAAGAACCTTCATTTCTCCACAATGAAGTTGGTGCTGCTAGATCAAAGTTCTTGGATAATAGTTATACACAGTCACAAAGTCATCGGTCAAGGACATTAAAAGTTCAGCACGAGGGGCCAGTGCCAAGTCCAGCACTAAGGATAAGGCAAGAACTTAGTCAAAAAGACTGGAGTTCCCAGGCAGCAGTTAAGACCGGTAAAGGAAGAAGACAACCCTCAACAAGTCCACAAAGCACACTCAGGATGTGCTTGAAGAGTTAACAGAACTGATTCCTTTGGGGTTATGCCCTATATTCTCCTACTCACAGGCCTTGATCGAAGAATGGTCCTCATTTCATGAGTCTACGACCAGGAACGTTCAAAAAGCTGAATTCGTGGGAGGGCAAGACACAGATCCCTGGCTTCAGTCTTCATTGCTGGTGTTCCTCAAGAATGGATGGGATCCAGATCACACTGATCCTGACAGATATGTCCATATATCTGGATATCTTATCCAACAGCCATTGTCCCACTTCAGAGAACAAGGAAGAAAAGACGGCCCTAGGAGACTAACTTGGAGATGGCTCTATTAGCCATTCATACCTATGGGTTCCCCAAGCCTGCAAAAGAACAAATATGGTAGGGGCAGTACCATTACTACCTGTGAGCCTTGTGAGAGCTGCAGGGAAGCTAGACCTGATGGATCTAGAGACGGGATCTAGAGGTTTCAACTGATGAAACAGAGATTTTCAATACGACTCTGAGCTGGGAAACCTTCCCAGGAAAAAGGAGCCATCCAGACCTTGGTAGGCAATCTATCACCTATATTATGGAAAGAACTCAAGGGCAGCCCAGAAAGACTCAGTGGAGCAATCTGGCACATATAATTGTATAACATTCTAAATCAGAGATGTGAGGATGGTCTATGCCATAGAACCTGACTAGATCAAGGTGGCAAGGATTATTGCAAATTTCAGAAGAGTCAAGATCTACAGTTAAGGATCAGGGTCAAGAAAGAGAGCTACTGCTCTATGGAGCAGAAATGAGAGTCATTGGACACAAAGAATATTTAAGGCTTTTGAGGCACTTTAGTGCCTTGTCACAAATATCTGCTACAGTGTACCAGTATAACAAATGGGAAAAGCTAGGGTCCAAAAACAGTGGCCAATTCCAAGGAACCATGCAGCATGACTAGCCTAAATGTGATTAAGAGTATCCATATCCCAAGCCTGTTTGGGTTTGAAGGTGGTGAAGCCTAGGGTTTCAGGAGCAATGAATGAATAGGATCTAGAAGGAAACATGGTTGACAGAGTGCCCACCCTGAAGGCAAGATTTAAGGTATGGGGCCAGCAGATATTATTACATTAGTGGACAGCAACATCAGAGGCAGCGAGAGCAGAAAGTCTCAAGCCACACAGAATGAGGCTGGCAGCGGAGGAGGAGGGTGAGAGAAAGTCACAAGCTACAGGAAGAAGAAACAGGCATGGGCTGCACTAAGAAGTGGATCTATGGGCCTGCATTGTGGTGTGGCAGGTTAAGCCACTGCTTCCAATGCCAGCATCCCATATCCAAGTGTCAGTTTGAGTCCTGGCTGCTCTGCTTCCAATCCAGCTCCCTGCTAATGCATCTGAGAAAGCAGCAGAAGATGATCTGAGTACTTGGGTCCCTGCCACCTATATGGAGCTCCTGGTTCCGGGCTGTTACATCCACTTGAGGAGTGAACCAGCAGATGGAAGATATTTCTTTCTCTCTCTCTCTCTCTCTCTGTCACTCTGTAACTCTTTCAACTAAATAATTTTTTTTTAAGAAAGAAGAAGAAGAAGAAGTGGATCCAGGCTGCTTGGACAAAGTTCACACAGGGTAAGAGAAACAGAGGTTACTGGTTTCTGAATTTCTCCTACATTTATCTTCTCCCTGGCCCAACCAGCATCCCTAACTTCCTTCACAATCCCTTTTATCTCTCTTACAACTTTATATATCTTACCCTCTGTAATCTTCCTTCCCCTCCCCATATCCCCTCCCTCAGTGGCAGACAGGCCCCCACCTATAAGGACAGTCCACTACCCCCAGTGCTCATCATGCACAATGGTTGCCTTAATCATGCTCCCCAATATGGTCACTCACAGAGAACCCTTCCCATCCACCACTTGCCACCCCCAAGTAATTCACACTGGTGCAGGCTCCCTCTCCCTCTCCTCCCACCCCTGTCACTCACAATAACCCCGCACTTCGGGTCAAAGGCGAAGGTGCCACAAGTGAGGAGGTGAGAAGCATTGGCAATGGCGAGAATCTGGACAAAATTGTGACATTCGTCCTGGTGGGTCAGAGATGGTTACAGAGAATCAGAAGCAGCAAGGAAGAGTAAGGATAAGGTGCTGTTGGGACAGTGAGATGCTGCTGTAGGATTCTAGGTTCAGGGTTGATGGATGATGGCATGATGTTACAGTCTCTGCTGGGTCCACTGGGATGTGAGCACTACAGGGGACTGGCACCTCATCAGGACTGAACCAACATCTCAACTGATACTCAGGGCAAGGTGGGTTTTATACCTACCTCTCTCTTGCCTTTCTTCCTACAGTTCTGTCTGTGAGCTTCCGGCACAATCCAATCAATCTGAGAAAGGAAGAGCAGTCATTTCTCCAGATCCCCCCTACCCAAACTCTCTCAAGGTCAGGGGAGATAAGACTGTTCTCCAGCTCCCATCCATCTGGGAGCTTCAGAGATCCCTGGGGTATTGCTTTTTAAACTGGAGGTCCCACTCATTAATGAGTAATGCAATCAACTGTGAAATCATGACCAACAATATTTTTTTATGAAACAGAATAGTCAGAACATATAACATATGGGAAAGTAGATATTGTTAAATGTTTCTTCCAGTAAACACTTACGTGCTGAGTCACAGCTCACAGTATAGTTCTTACTCGTGGATGGCTCACAAAGTTTGAAAGCTGTCCCCTTTGAGGACTGTAATGCTAATGCTCCATCTACCCACTGTCACTTTAAACCTCTGGCCTCCTCCCCATCATCACAAACCTCTCTCACAGCCTCCCTTGTCACCATGACCTCCCCCCACCTTATCATGCTCAGGCAATTTCTGCTCATTTCCCCAACTCCCCCTCTCCTGCCGCCAGCTCTGTCACCTCTTTGGTTATTAGGAGCCCACATACAAAGTCCACAACACTGCGGATATAATCACAGGCCATGGGATCTGAGATCCTCCCCGCTTTTATCTCACCCTGCGTGGTTTCTCCCCCGAGAAGGGCAGGGATATAGCGAAGATGGTGTCCCGGGCGCCAACATAAAGTGTGTGGGAAGCAGGATCCACAAGGAGGACAGAGTAATTGTACGTCTGAGGGACGGTGAACCGGGTGAGATAGGAGTCAGCCTCTGGCAGGAAGAGAGAGGGAAAGGAGAGACTAAGACCAGCCACTGTTTTACAAGGGTAGAGTCCACAAGAGCAAAACCAAAGGGTTTTATTTTCTTTCAATTATTATTTATTTAGTATCTATTGGTGGGAAAACCAGAGCTTTGACAGGCCAACCAGCAATAGTACCCCAAAGATAGGTAACTGATGAGATCAGAGTACTTAGTTCACAATCTAGTCAAGTAAGTTTTTCTATTAAAAAAAAACACTTTATTGAAATAACAGCATAATCATCAAGTCTGTAGCTTCTATTCATAGCAATGTGATAATTTAAAAATACTTACGGAAGATACAAGCACTTCCCAAAATTTCTTTTTTTTTTTTTTAGTCACTACTTCATAGTAACTTCATTTTACTTAGAAATAAAATGTTTCACACTTTTCACCAACATATTAGGAGTCTGTCTTCTCTCTCTCCCATTGCCCTTGACCTTCTTGCTTGATTCCACCCAAAGAGGCAGAGTATAGTAAGAAAGAGTATGTGTTCTGGAAATGGCCCAAGTGGGTTTAAATGTAGCTCTTCCACTTAACAGTGGTATCTTCTTCAGGAAGTTATTTGCACTCTCTGAGCCTCACTTTCCTCACCTATAAACACCACTATCCAGGCTTGTTGGGAGATTTAAGTAAGATAACTCATATGGAAACACCTGGAACATACTATGTTTCACAAATGGTCCCTTTCCTCCTTACTTAGGGCATGTATTCTATTTAGAAAAATCTAAACCTTCTATCAGCAACCAAAACTCATATAGGGGTGGCACTGGGCCTAGCAGTTAAAATACAGTTAGGATGCCTACATCCCACATTGGAGTACCTGAATTTAGTGTCTGGTTTTGGCTCCTGATTCCAGTTTCCTTCTAATGCAGAGCCTGGGAACCACAGGTGATGGTTTAAGGAACTGAGTTCCTGCTACCCATGTGGGAAAGCTTGACTGGGTTCCCAGCTCCTGGTTTTAGCCCCATGACCATTTTTTTCCCCCAAAAGAAACCTTTTATTTAAGGAATACAAACTTCATGCATTTCATAAATACAACTTTAGGAACACAGTGATTCTTCCCACCCACACTCCCACCCCTCTTCCTCCTCCCTCTCCTATTCCTAGCCTTATTTTTTACTAAGATCTATTTTCAAATAACTTTATACACAGAAGATTATACTAAGTAAAGAGTTCAACAAATGGTATGAAAAAAACTGTTCCTCAACATTGGAGACAAAGGCTGTTCAAAATCATTGTATCTCCAAGTTAATTTCACTTTGAGAAACTTAATTAACTTTAAAGAACCCAAGAATTATACATCTTTTGCAAGCACTTAGACATAACTATGACTTATCAGACATAAGAATATCCTCCACTTAATACACTAAAATGAAGTAAATCTTTGAGAACAAATTTTACTATTAACTCTCATAATACAACTCTTTGAGGACAGAGGTCCTGCATGAGAAGTTAGTGCACGGTGACTCCTGTTGTTAATTAACAATTGACACTCTTATGTATGACACCCAGAACCATTTTGAACATTTGAGGGACCCAGCAGATGCAAGTTCTCATTCTCTGACTCTACGTCTCCTTCCACTCCCAAATTAAAAAAAAAAAAAATTAGGTTAGATTTTGTTTAAAGATCAAAACGATTAAGTTAGCATAAATTTCCCTTCTTAGCTCAACTTCTGGCTCTTGGGACCCTACTCTTGCACCAGTACAGCTCTGCTCTACCAACTTCACCTGCTCAGACACCCCTGAGATGGGAGAATGGCCACCTGCCCACTCACTCCTAGACATGTTGCTACGAGCCCTAGCCATCCCATCCTCCCATACTACTCTGTGCTGTATTCTACCAGCAGGATCAACCCTGGAATCATCCAGCCTCCCTCCATATCCCCAACTCTGCTTCTACTTCCACCATCTAGACCTCTCTGGATTCCTGGACACCAACTCAGCCTGGCAACGTCAGCTCACCTTGTGGCTGTTGCTCCAGCACAAACTGAAAGCCCAGGTTCTGACCACAACCTTGCATCTGTCACTGGTCTGAGTTTACACTCTAAATTTACTATTAACTACTATTATCTGGTTGTGAATTTTGAGTTTTTTTTTGTTTTTGTTTTTGTTTTTGTTTTTTTTTA